CCCCGCCACGCCGAGGAGAGCTGCGTGCGTGCGCTCGCGCACATACACGCGCTCATTTATATATATATTTATATATATATATATATATATCTCCACTCGCACGCACACAAAGAGCTGAGTAGCGGTGAGCGGTTGTGCTGGGGATTCGCCACAGCGCCGTAGGAAGGGATTTGTCATCCTGGCCGCCCGCCCCTTCCCCGGCGGTGCCCGGCCGGGTGGCCAGGGCTGATCCCCGAACAAAGGCCGGAGCAGTGCCCCGACTCTGCCCGGGCGGCCGGGCGGCGGCTCCCCGGGGGGAGAGAAGGGAAGAAAAGGGCAGCCCAGGATGATTTGACAGAGCCGTGCTTCCTGGCAGCCCCGGGTATCCCCCCAGTCAGGGTGCTGCTCAGCACTGTGCGGAGCCAAGCTCGAAAAATACACCGTTTTATTCCGGGTTGAGCTAGCGGGCTTAGCAGATTCAGAGCATGGCAGTGTGATCCAATAGTTTCTACTTAATGTCGTTGCTGGTGGTCCAGTATGGGTGGAACCATTGCCTGGTGAGGGAACGAGGTGGTGCCTCAGCAGCTGTTGTGATTTTCTGTCGCTCCAGCTGCCCAAGGGCCCGGCTGTGGCAATGTCCTCTGCCTCGCTGGTTTGTGCAAGTGAATGTAGACCAGAAAGAAGAGCAGTCAGCCCCCAGGTTAGTCAGAGACGCCTCCTGCAAGCGCCCTGTCTGGTGGAGCCCCGTGCGTTGCAGGAGGTTGGCTTTCTGTCCGCGGTCCTCAGTTCAGAAGTGGGGTGAAAGGGCTGTGGACTTTAGAGCCTTCAGGCTGAGGTAATCGTCAGCTGCTTTAAGACCATCCTGACCGCTTTTTCCCCATACCTTCACGGCAGAGCAGACCACTTGCTGCATGGCAGGGTCTGGTGAAGTTCTTGCGGGGTCCCCCCGGGTTGTGACCTCCAGCGTTATTCCAGCGGGAGGTCAGCAGAGGGCTCTAGCAGTGTGGGCCTAGATTGGCTCTTTTGTGGGGTGTGTGTGTGTGTGTGTCGCACTGTATTTCGATTTCTGTAACTTTATTGGTGTGACAGGCTGCATGTGTGTTGCCAGAGGTTGGTGGCTGGCTGTGTTTGGGATAGGTGTCTGTTTTGCATGGGCAAAATTTCTGATTTTCTGGCGGGCTGCCACCTGTTGTGCTCGACCCTTGCTCCTGCTGAAGTCAACAGAAGAAGGTTCAGTGACTCCAGAGGGATCAAGATGGAGCCTGCTGTGAGGCTTATTTTGGTAACTGATTCTCTGCTGTTGGTAGAGAAGAGGTAGTGTCCTCATCTGTGCCATTTGTTGTGGATGACTACCTTCCCAGGGAGGAGAAGAGTTGAACAGAATGAATTCCCTGTCACAAGAAGGCTGATGGGACCGCAGGAGAAGTTGGCCTAGCAATGTGAGCGCTGGAACTTCACTGCCTTGGTGCTATTTCTGGTTCTGCGGTACAGATACATCTGTGAGCTAGAAATCAAAGACTCTTGGCATTGCCTTCCTGGCTCTACTTCTGTCCTAACCTATGACCTTGGAGGTCCTCTCTCAGTACCTCAGTTTCTCCTCTGTGAAGAGGAGAGAATGATATCCCTCTGTTTCATAAGGACAGTTCCTTCCGCCAAAGCTCTTGGGGGCTTTGGGGTTAGGGTGAAAGGGAATTTTGTGTCTTTGGCCATTTTATGCTTGCTCTGAGATGTCGAGCTGTGACAGGTTTTTATTTGGGATGGACTTACCCTGCTTGGAGACTGTAATTTTAGCTTCAGCCCCTACCCTTTTGTGCTCAAGAGAGCCTTCCACATGTTTTGTGGCACGGGAAGTTGTAGGGGAGTCAGACAAACACTCTTTGTTTGTTCCACGAGAAAAGATTTTCTGGTATAAATAAAGGAAACCACCAGCACTTGTGGCTGCACTTTTATTTTTAAAAGAACAGTGTGTCTGTATTACTGCTAAGCCATTGACGGGGAGGGAGGCAAAATGATCACAGACTTGCTCCTTTTCTAGTCTAGCATGTTCCCACTCGACTGCTCCAAATTTGGACTTAATCCTGCCTGCTGTGGCTATGTCTGCCCTGAAGAGTTAACGTGGGCCCTGACTGGGTTTTAACCTTACTTCCCCCTCCATTCACAAAGAAGAACCTCTGACTCAAATCTGGAGGTGTTTTGCAGGGTAGGGGTGTGGGTTAAATGAGGGATTAACATTTAACGTGGGCTGAAGCCCAAATTGCAGGAAGGGAACAGGCCAAGTGGTGTTAGTCCTTCAGTGACCTTCCTGTGTTTCCCCACGAAAGACAGATCTTCTTCTGACCCTGACACAACCAGTGGAAAGGTAGCACAGATTGAATCAGCCCAGCAAAGTATGGAATATGACTCCCAGAACATAGGAGTGAGTGTAGGTAGGGTAGCAGGGGCAGGGCTTTGCTGTGAGGATGACTACCTCAGTCATGTGCTCTGGTTGGGGTGCTAACTGTGGGAGTGAACTGTGTGAGCGTGGCACAGACGCTGTGGGAGTGCTCTCTGTCCAGCCAAATCAAGGCAACCCACCTTTTGTAGCGGGATGTTCTGCCTGGCAGCTGGAGAAAGATCCCCTGTTTCCTTTTCAGAGGCTGATTCAGACTTTGGAAAATCATCATATGTTAAAGGCAAAAACTCCCAGATTCTTTATGGGAGGGATTTAGTCAAGTCAGATCTCCCAGATCTCAAATGTAGTATCAGGGCACAGCTGTGAAAGTAAAGGCTCTGCAGAAGAAGTTGAATGTGCTGCTCTGTGGCCAGTCTGTAGTCCAGATTCTCTGGTGTAATCCAGCCTCTTGCGCAGTGCAAACATTCAGAAAGCGTGGCAGATGTGAATCAGTTTCACTTCAATTTTCTACTCTGTTTCGGTTTGTGCCTCTTTATGTCCCAGACTGCTGCGGTGAGCAGCATTTGATCTCCACAGGTAACTGCCACTTCCCCTCCCTCTTTTCTTCCCTCCTTCTTTTCTTCCCTCCCTCCCCGCTTGCCTGCCTTCCTCCCTCCCTCCCCTTGACATAGGTCTGTAAGTGTTTATAGCCAGAACTGTGCCTTTACTGCTAGGCGTCCCAGGTCCTTTGCTGGCAAAGCGTAAATAATCAGCAGTGCAGTTCAGTGGCTGTCATTGTGCCTGCAGAATTTCCCACGTATTAAATTGTTTGACTTGTTGGAACATAGGTGGTGACTACAGTCACTCCGAAGGGGAATGGGAAGACGGAGGTAGCTGCAGACAAGAAGAGGATAGACAGGTAGGGCAGGAGGGAAGAGGAAGGGAAGGGACAAGGAACAGAAACATGCTGTCTTCTAGACAGGGAATACCAACAAGCAGTCCCTGCCTGCCAGGCTACATTTCCCCTTCACAAGCCGCTTTCTCTTTTAATAGCTGCTCACGCTCTCTGACACTTCAAACTCCCTGGATGGAAGCTCCTCCCCTCTTGTACCCGCTCTCAGCACTGTGGCACTGTCAGCTCTGCATGACCTAGAATTAACTTTCAACAATTAACTGCGGGCTGTGAGATCCAAGCCCTGCAGCTTTTGCATTTTTGTGGCAAAGTAACCTTTATGCCAGTTTGTCACAAGTTCAGGGCACTTTAGAAACGCTTACTGGAGACCATTTTTTTCCATGATGCAAGCAGTTTGCGCTTATCACTGAGAGTTATCAACCTTGGTGCTGTAGGACTCTGCATACTGTACAGGTGGATCATTACAGCGCATAACAGCATGGGGCAGGTACTATCTCTTTGTGCGTATTTTTATCCTCTGGTTCATTGAAGACATCCTCCTTTGCCTGCCTGCTGGTAGAGCTAGGAGGCCTGGAGGGCTCCAGGTACCCGGTGTTTGCAGAACTGTACTAGCAGCTGGGTTTTGTGCGTGTGTACTTATCTATCCTATCTCTCATCTCTTTAAATCTCTCCAACCCTTGACCAAGCAGCAAAATGAAGCTTTGGCAAGAGACTGGGAAACATTGAGAAACGCTTGTGAAATCAGTGCAGATCGCAAGCAGTTAGTGTTTGCTCCATTCGGAGGGAAGGCAGGGGATAATGGCAGATCCACCCTGTTCCCCCTCCCACACTGCCTCATTGTGGTTCAGTAGCCAAGTGTATGGTCTAGTTAATCCTGGGGGTGCTGTGGGCTTGCTCTGAGTCTTTGAGTTGGTGGCTTGATTCCTTGGGGCTGGGAAGGTGGTCACCGTGGAGACGTGGAGGCTGTGACTAGAAGCAGGTGATGTTGTGGTTCTGAGGTGACCTGTTGAGGTGAATGTTCTATGTGGGCAAAAGAGGTAGCTGATGGGAAGAGTGAAGATGCGTGGTTCTGAACCCTCAGCTTGTTCTCAGAAGTGCCTCTGTGTCTAGAAGGGATGATTCTGGCTTAACCCCTTGCCTGCTAAAGCCCACTGGGGTCTCTACTGGCTGTTTTGAAAGGGGTAAAAGACAAACTGGTGAAGGGCCTTAATCTAGAGTGCAGCATCATCTGCAGCAGCCTCAGGTGCTTTTTGACTGAGCTAATATGCTTAGTGGCAACGTATCCGAGAGTATGAGGGATAGTGGGGAAGGAGTTTGGGGAGCAGGCACCTGTGGGACACATCATGGTGCCAGGGAGAAAAACAGTGAGTGTCTCCTCTATCTTGCCTCTGCCCTGAGGAAGAGATTGACTCTTTGTCTTCCCTGCTTGATTTTGTGTGTGTGTGTGTGTGTGTGTAGGGCAGAGACAGAGGACTTAGGCCTGCAAGACTGCTAGTGAGGAGCATAGGGTAGACGTGTTGCAACTGTCTGTCTCATTTTAAGGGGCAAAGCGCTAGATGTTCTTGAGCGAAGTTTGCATTAACTTATTCCCTCCATTCCTCCTTTTAGTTATCAAATTCCTGGAAGTCTACGAGCGCAGCTTCTGCAGGACAATTGAGACCCTGGTGGACATTTTCCAGGAGTACCCTGATGAGGTGGAGTACATATTCAAGCCATCCTGTGTGCCTCTGATGAGATGTGCGGGTTGCTGCGGCGATGAGGGCCTAGAATGTGTCCCCGTGGATGTGTACAACGTCACGATGGAGGTGAGGGCTCAGCTTGCAAGCTGGTGTGTTTGGGTGGAGGAAGCAAGTCAGCCGTCACAGCCACCCCAAGTCCCAGCTCCCAGCTAATTCAGAGGAAGGGCAGCCTACTCCAGGGAACTGGAGACTGTTGGATCAGGAGGGCTCACCTCTTTCCTTACCCTTGTGCCCAGCATTGCACCATGCAGGGTGAAAAGCTCATCTCTGTTAAATGCGAAGAGGAGAATCTGGTTTTTGGCTCTAACCTTGCTAGTGCCCAAATGCAGTAGCTAGGAGCATGCAAAGGAGCATTTCTGCAAAGGAGCATGTGATGTTTGGAGAACACAAAGGTGCATTTCTGACGCCTTTATCTCTGAGGCCCTAAAGAAGATACTCCTTGGGACCTTGCTCCACCTTAGGTCTGCATTTGGTCCACCCAGCTGTTGCTCTGAAGGCAGCTGAGAAATGCAAAAGGGGAAAGCCTGTCAGTACTCCCTCCTGGAGGGCATGTGAGGTCAGCCTTTACCAACAGAGCAGGGGGATCTGGGTCATTAGCTACATTGGCACAGCAGGGGTGGAAAGGGGTTCTAAGAAGCACACTGTTTCAGTGTCAAGTGGAAAAGCCTTTCTGCCTCTGGGCATCCTCCTTCTTTGTTGGGAGGCTGCTAAATTCATTCTTTGGAAGAGGCAGAGATGGCTGTGATAGCAAAGGCCGGGCACATGGGGAAGAAGCAAACTCCGCTTTAGAGGGCTTTGTCACTGCCTTTGTTTGCCAGCCTGGATCCCAGCTAGTGTCCACAATGGCACTGGTGCCCATTACCCTTAATATGTAGCTCCCTCACCTGCTTTTGTCCCTCAGACTCTTGAGTGGCCACTGTAAATATTGCCATCATTTTTTGATATGGGTGAGAGACACGCAGGACTAAGTGATTAACCAGCAAGCTCTATTTGTCATTTGAGCTGTATTTGAGCTCTGGCAGAGAACCTGTCTGTGCCCTTCTGTGGTTCCCCATACTGCTTTTCCGCTTGCAGGCTCCAGCCTGGTCCAGAGCATACTAACATGGTGTAGCTAGGGATGGTTTTCTTCCTACCGTTCCTTGCTGAATTACAGTTTTTGGCTGGTATGTCCGCATGCCTGTAAAGGGTCAGAAGTACTGGAGCAGATCTCTGGTGCAAATGCTAGAGCTAATGGTCCAGCCAGGTTCTGGGTTGAGAGACTGTAACAATACATGCATAGCTTCTAATAGAACTTCCATGGAGGCACTGGGCTTTGGGGGCTGGGCAATGTCTGGCTCTGCAGGACTGTTTTAAGCATAGATCACCATTGTTTGCTTTGTGTATCGAGTCACTGAGAAAGTGAGATGTCAGCTGGGAGAGAATGGTGGCTTAGGAAAAAGGAGTCGAATATGGAATTTTGCTTTGGGACTTTGCGTAAGACTGAAGCATGCTTCTATGTGAGAGCAGGCTGGGTGCTCTGTTACTGTCTCTCTAACATCGACCAGGGACGGCTCAGTGAGAACCTTGCTATGGTGTTATGCCCTCTCCCATGCCTGTCTTCAAGGCAGTCCACCAGTGCTGGCACTTTGCATGCATGAGCAAACACAGCTTTGGCACGAGCCTGGTGTTGCTGCTTGCTTGTGATCAAAGGCCTTCCCTGACTGGGAGAATGGGGCCTCAAGGCCAGCTCAAACTCTGCCATGCTCTTCCCAAGAGCACCTGGGGTGCAAATGCTTTGCCATGCAGCGGGCTGATTTGGAGCTGTGAGTATAAATAGTGAATGGGCAGTGACCCTCTCTGTTTCTTTCATTCCAGATCATGAGAATTAAACCCCATCAGAGTCAGCACATAGCGCACATGAGCTTCTTACAGCACAGTAAATGTGACTGCAGGTGAGAATGGAGCAGAAGTGGTTCCTCTTGCAATAAACTTATTCTGAGCCTTTCCTTTTTTCTGCCATTGGGTTGGGACTGTTGTCCAGAGGCTTCTGCAGTCCCCTCAGTCGGTTTGCGGTGGGATGGTTGAGCCTGGGAAAAGAAGTCTGTTGCTGGTGCGGCTCCTCCATCTCTAGATATCACAGGTGGACAATGCTAGCCTGCAATCTGGGGTCTTTTGGCACTGGCTGCCAGTGAGGAGCAACAGGAGAGCAAACACTTTGAGAAGGACCACTTAACCTGTGCCATGGGCATCTTGCAATTCCAGCTGTACATGTCCTTCTGTGGACTTGATGGGAACTTGGGATAATACTGGAAGTGTATATGGTAAGCTCCCTTCTAATGAGGCCTTTGTTCTCTCTTCCCCCACAGACCAAAGAAAGATGTCAAAAACAAACAAGAAAAGTAAGTGACAAGCCTTTCTTCCTTTCTCTTTTGGTGGTTGGTTGGTGTTTCCTCTCCCCACTGCCCCTTGCCCTTTTCTTTGGTTGGAGATACTCACTTTGAGAAGGTGTTTTTGGAAATGGCATATGGTAGTGCATGGGGCGACACTCTGAATCCGTTCCAGGTGGGCACAGAAACCCAGATCTGATGGTCCTTCGTTCATACCCCAGACCTGGAGCTTGCATGACCCACGGCCATGGCAGTCATTCCTAATGCTTTATCCCGAGTCAGGGAAGTCCCGTCGTGTGTGTCCTACCAGAATGGATTCAAGGTGCAGCCCCCGTTCTCCCTTCCCTCTTCCTGGGGTGTTTCTGGTTACTGCAAATTGCTGCCTTTCTTTATTATTAATTTTTTCCTGCTGCTTGAGTGAGTACTTGCTGGCTTCTTTCACAGCAGCCTGGGTAGAAACTCTGCTGGCTACAGGGAGAGGTGGCAATAGAGGTGTGGTGGAGGCAGGACTGATGCCATGCAGGATGTGACGCTGATTTTGGTTGGGTGGGGGCCTGGAAGGGTGTAAAGGGAGGTGGATGTCCTAACCAGCTCTTGGTGGAGGCTTTCATGAGAGTTTTTTTTTTCAATCTGATGGATTTGCTCTGGTGACCTGAAGGATGTTACGGCACAACCTTCCCTTTCCTTCCTCCCCTAAGTAAAAGGGTTGTGGAAAGTAGAGAAATAAGCTCTCGTCCTGCAGTAATTGCAGGGACGTTACAAAACCTGGAACAACATCGAAAAAAAAGAGTGACCTCTCTGAGCGAGAGGGTCAGCTGGACTGCACATGGCTGGGATAGCGACTCTGCCATTTAGAGGTGCGGAGTTGGAGAGGAATGGGGTGAATACTGGGAGATGAGGCTGAAACAGAGAGAGAGAGCAAGCGAGAGAGTGAGAGAACTTCTTTCACCCCTCTCCTGGTGGTTGTATATTTCTAGCTGCCTTCCAGCCTCTCCTCCTTCCCCTGGAAATCTGCTCCTGGCTGCATCGGGCTGCGTGCAGCCAACACTCCTCTCTGTGCAGGGCCGTGTCGGGGATGGTTGGTCTGCGTGGCTCTGTGGTTTGAAGGTGTGCAAGAGCTGGGTCTGTGTGAACTGCAGTGAGGATGGGGTGTGGGTGAAGCAGCCAGCTCGGACTGTGTTGCATTCTCTTTTCTCTTCTAACAGCACCTTGCCTGCTTTTTGCTGGTTCTGCACTCCCCGGGGAAGGAAGGGAAGGGATGGGAGAGATTGGTGGGCTTTGATTTGTGCTGGATTGAAAGTCCTGTTATATTGGTGCCCCTCTCCTCCCTTCAGGTCGATTTTCCTCCCCTCACCGCCTCCCTGTGACTCCTGACATGTAGGGCAGAGGCTGGGAGCGAGCTGATGCTCTGACACTCATTCCAGTGAGACGACTTGAACAGGGCCTAAGAAACACCTATGGTGCTTTCCCTTCTGTCCCCCCATGTCCCCTCGACAGCTCCCTCCCGAGGTGGGCTGCGCCAGGGAAGGAGGGAGCCTTTGCTGAACTGCCACAGTGCTGGGACTCACTTGCCTGACAAGCCCTGGTGCTTTGCCTAGGGCCTTCTCCTTGCATGTCTCTCCCTTGGTCCTGTGCTAACGTGGCTCAAGGAGCATCGCAGGCTTCAGCCTCCCTCCCTCCCTGTGCTCTCACTGGCCTGTAGGGATCCATGGTTAGTGTCCAGGCCTGCACGTCCTGTCCCCTGCCTGTCCCGGCTCCTGGCCAAGAGTCAGGAGCAACTGGTGAATTTTTCAGAAGAGAGTCAGTGCCTTGGCTCTGTCCACTTGTCTGTCTGGCAGATCCATGTGGAAGGGGAGGGGAGGTGAGGGAGGGAGGGAAAGAAGGGAAGATCCGAAAGCTTCTTGCTGGTCATCTCCTGGGTGTAATAACTGGGTCAGGCCTCCCTCCTTCCCCTCCGGTACTCGGGAGGGAGGCTGCCGGAGAGGAGACATCCAGTGAGCTCTCCTGGAGTCCTACGAACCACAGGCAGGAGGTGGGGTAGTGAGCGGAACTTTTGGGCTAGACAGCCCTCTCCCACACAGCACTGCCGCTGAGACCAGGTCTCACCCCTTGTCTGTGGGGTGCTGAGGCCAGGCCCCCTTTGCTCCCATCCCAAGGCAGGATTATCACCGTCTGTCCTGCAGCGGAGCTGTTGGAGCTTGGCTTCCCCCATCTAGGCCCGGTGCCGGGCAGTGCTTCAGGTCAGAGCGGATTCCTTTTCCCTGGGGAGAGTCCCTCCGCTCAGGTTGCCTCTTGTCAGTCAGCGTGCGCCTGCGCTTGTCACCTGGAACGGTTGTCTGCACTCACTGCGGTTGTGTGATGCTTTCACGAAGCTTTCTGTTCCTTCCCCTTCACCCGTGTCCCTCTCCTGCTGCCCCTCTGAGGCTCCAGCAGATCCGCCTCTGCTGGCAGCAGCCCTGCTGGAGGTGGTCCCTGCGGAATCACTCCCCTGGCGTTGGCTTGGCTGTGGGCAGGCTGGTTGCGGTGCTGGCAGGAGCGCAGGAGGGCCGGAGAATGTGTGTGTGAGGTGGAGATCTGTGCTTCGGCCCTGGGACTTGCCCTCCAGTCCTGCCTCATGTGCTTCCCCCCTCCCAGCAAGGCACATGGCTGTATTTTTTTTTCTCCTCTTCCTTGCGTTTTCTTCCGTTTTCTCTCTATCTCTCCCTTTCTTTCCTTCTCTCTCTCTCTCTCTGTTTTTTTTTTTTTTGTTTTTCTTCCAGAAAATCAAAGCGAGGAAAGGGGAAGGGTCAAAAGAGAAAGCGCAAGAAAGGCCGGTACAAACCACTCAGCTTGTACGTTTGTGTCCTCTGCTTGTAGACTCTCTTCCCTCCCTCCCCCCAAGCCAATCCGCCTGCTTGCTGCTCACTCAAATCTCACCCTCCCCTCCCAGTCACTGGTGGGCTGCAGATCCTGCAGGGGCAACGCTGGTGGTGGCACCGCTCTGGCACTAAGGGTATCTCAGGGAAGGTGGCTTTAGCTTGCTTGGCTCTCTAATCATCAGTGGCGACCATTTTCCCAAGGCATAAGGGCGCGGGTGGGTGGGCGAGCGTCCTGCACCTCTTTTCCACGCCTTCTGGTTGCAGTTCTGTCATCCGCTTTCCCCCACTCGTCTTGTGCCCTCACTGCTATGATGACTGGCGACAGGCAGGCTGGCATCTGCCGTGCATGTGTGTGTGTGTGTGCGTGCGTGCACGCGTGCGTGTGCGTGCGTGTCTGGTGGAGTCACAGGCGGAGAGGAGAGGTGGGA